CTGCCATTTAAAGGATGCCAAACGCAACGCCACCAACTTACATAATTTGTGCCAAAGTTGTGTGACCATTCAAAAAAAAAATTGCACATTGAGTTTAACACAAGAACTAAAAAGGGACAGCTTTCATCAGTAATTAAAAGCTTATTGTGAAGTAGCTTGTGTTCATTAGCGATTTAAACTGCCTGGGGTTGAGTAGTGCAGTCAAGCACATCACTAGCCTAACAAAACAGTTCACAAGCTCAGAATCCGCAGGGTCATGTGTAGGTGTGAGCAGCTAACAGAACGAGAGTTGGACTGCACCACCACGGCTCATGTGAAGCCAAAGCCCACGCTGTGCTGATCAGACAGAGTTCATCTGCTAAGTCTTGAAATCTGTAACCCAGTCTATAACCCAGAGAAAAAGATTTACATAACTCAGAACGAGAACAAAGTGAGCCTGTACAGTTAATTACATATATTAAAGTAACCAGAGTGAGTTTGTGCTTCAGAAAAAAATGCCCAGAGGTGATGAATAGGTGATTATTTTCATGTGCCTATAGATTTGTGTGCAGAACAGGAGCGCTGGAGCTTATTGTGTCAAATAGCTGCAGTAAGTACAAAAACAGAAATAGTCATGCATGAAAACAATTATTTTCCTATCTTAATTGCTTTCCGAAGTAAATACTTTCTGTCACCTTTCCAATTAAAAAGCACCCGGGAGCTACAGTGGATGTATTTTTAAATGGTGCCTGCAGCATGTCTTGTTTAAGATGATCACTCTACATGTTAATAACCCGTTTCTCTTAAACATGCAGAGCAGTCAAAGCGGTTAAGGGAAAACATGTCTCACACAGGACACCATAACTGAGTGTTCAGTTGCACAGATGAGGATCCAACTGTAATAATTTACATTTTGTCATCTAGTAATCCTAAATAATACAAAGCCAAATGGATAATGTTTATAGTATCTTTTCAATTAGGCTAACACTTGTACAAAATTCCTCCTCCATGCCTGTCTCATGACATTTCTCAGCCCATCTGACATATACTTGGTGAAGTGTGAACTGCTTTGCAAATGAGGGTTATTCTTGGAGAGTCACGTCTCCTCTGCCTCCCTCCTGTGTACCCTGGAGAAGGTTGTAAAAGCTGTTGTCCTTTAGTTATGACGGAGAGCGAGGAGGAGTCAGAGATAAAAAGCAAAAGGAAAAAGCTCTTCAGCTTGAGCCCTCCTTTCTCCTTTTTCCGCGTGCATCTGTCTCCAATCCTATTGCCTATCTCTTTTATTTACTCTCTCTATTTTTCTCCCTCTGTCTCTCTGTCTGTCTCCCTCTCCTTCCCTCTCTGCATGTGCCTGCTGCTCTGTCATCCTCAGGGATGCATCTGAAGGAGACCATCTGTTGATCCATTTGTCTACTGCTTCGTTTCCTGTGCCACAGCCTCTCTACTACCGACAATTGGCCCTGGCCTTTCCACTGCCCACCCTTTTTTGTTAATACCAACAAACCCTCGGGATAAGGGTTCTGTAATGTTGGGGTGTGGTAAAAGATTGTGGTCAGATTCTTTCAAAGACTAGAAGCCTGTCTCGGATGGCTTTCAGACCATTGTCATGTATGCACAGCAACGATTTGAGTTGTGGGGAATAATAGAAATAGCAGTCATCTGAAGACTGCTCCAAATCATCTCCACTAAAAAGTGAATTAACAATTTTACCACAATTTTCCCATGTAAAGCCATTACTCTTGAAGACAAACATTTAGGCCAAAGAACAGTTCTATACAGATTTTAATCAGCTTTCTCAATGTTGCCAAGTTGGCACAAGCATAATTAACGATAAGTACATACTTGAGACCGCAAGTACACTTTATGAAAAACTGTTGAACCTAACTCAAAATAATTATTCCAATTCAAAAGATAAACAACTTCAACGGTACTCAAATAAGAATGTAACACCATGAAATTTCCTGTAAGATTGTGTTAATTCACAATACAGTTTACAAACTGGTATTACTAGTAGGAGTAGTAGTAATAGTATTCCTTTGGTTTTCTTTTATTATCTTTTCATCACACTCTTTCCAAGGTGCACAGTATTTACTTCAGCATATTATTTCTGTCAAGGACACAATATATTTGCAGCCCACACACGTAATGCAGTCAACACATGACCTTTTATTTGCAGAGATGACTCTGTAAGCTCTTTTAATTAGCTTTAGAAAATATATTCTCAGTGTTCAGAGTCCTATAAATGCATAGGACTCTTACCAGGAAGGTTAGAAGGAAGTTCTTTGAATTTACTTGCTGTCTTGATGCTATAAAATAGACACTTGTGTAACAGCATCAAAAGGTGTTGTAATACAGTATTGCTGCCCCACTCAGTAAAAGGTGACCGTTCACTTCAGTGCTGATAGTCCTTGGTTAGCAATGGATTTGTCTGATTTTACTCTTAATGGGGGCTGCACAGTGGCACAGTTGGTAGCATTGTTGCCTTGAGGCATGATATTTCCTGGGTTCAATTACTGGCCTGGGGACTTTCTGCACAGAGCTTGCATGTTCTCCCTGTGCATGCGAGGGTTCTCTCTGGGTACTCTGGCTTCCTCCCACAGTCTAAAAACATCACTGTTTGGTAAATTGGTCATTCCAAAGACACCATCCCTAGGGACAAGGGTGAACAGATAATGCATGGATACTCTGTATGGGTAGATGTTAGTGAAAAATGTTCTTTTATTTTCTATGTATTTTCTTTAATTCTATGAACTACTGAAAACATGTCTCGAAAATTCCAAGAAAAATGTATTATTAATTTGCAGAAAATGAGAAATGGTCAGAATAATGAAAAATATGCAGTGGTCAAATAATGCAAAGAAAACAAATTCATATTCTTCAAGAAACAATACTAATGTTTTAACTCAGGAAGAGTTCGGGAGTCAATATTTGGTGGAATAACCATGAGGTTATCAATGGGGTTCAGTGCAGTGGTCTCTTATTTTTTTCCAGTTAGAAAAAAATAAAATAAAATAAAATAAAACGCTGCCACATCATTGTGTTTCTGCCTTTCATTAGGGTTGTGCAGAAAGTCATAATACGATGGGTAAATAAAAAACCGTCCAGTATTGCCTTCATATGCCAGTGACATTACATACAATCCAGTCATCCATAGATTGGGCAGCTTGGGGGGATACTTTCAAATGTCATGAATCGCGCACCACCCTTCTCGTATGCTGCACATGGCCTCCACTGCTTCATAACTCGCATAGCCACAAATCACATGTTCCAGTAATGGTCCTATAATAACTTTACTTATTTGCAAGACACACTACAGAAAAAAAAAATAATAATCAACTCACCTCAGTGGAGGAGTTTAAGTATCTTGTTCACAAATATGGAAGAAATGGAGGGGGAAATTATTGATAGGCAGATTGGTGCCTCGTCTGCGGACTCTGTATATCTCAGGTCCGAATGTCTGAGTGTGGAAAATAATAATATCAAAGGTACTATGTTGTCTTGTTGCCAAAAGTTTTATCCATTCATCCCTTCGTTCACTTTTGATTGACTGATGAATCATCTAATTGATCCTTCATTTAGATGAACCTTCTCATGTTCCTTGGGACAGAGTTTATATGTTCTTATGTCTTTGTGTTTGGTAGATTCATTTTTTAAAGTCAAACTATGTTGATGTGAGACTGAGAAATGTGCATCGTTTTGGCTTCAAAATGTATAAGGACACAGTTAATCGAACCATGTTTTGGTAGAAAAAGTAATTGTCGAAAAAATTAACCCAATTATGAGTTTCTCTGTGCCGTTTTCTGCTTTTGTGCATTCAGCTAACGTCATTGTTTGGAAGTTACAAACTCACTGAAATGTTACCAACAAGGGTAACATTAGAAGAAAAACCTGTCATTGCTGTGCCATAAACAAAAATATGTTTGCTTTCTATTGCGCACTTTTTATTCATCACATCCTCAAAAGTAGAAACATTAACAACTGAGAGCTGACAGACATGAATGCTTTTAGTACATTAAGTACATCCCCAAAACAACTAATGGCCCTGAGGAGGGCTACTCTAATCTTTGTTTATCTTAAATGAGCAGTGACATCAGTGAAATCAGACAGATTAAAACTTTTTTTTTTCTTTTAATCAGTTTTTTATCGCTGTTAACTGTCTGCCTCCCCCAGTGGACTTCAAAACAGACTTCACTATAAGATGAAGGCACAGACCATGAAATAGATGTTGGAAGCAACGCCACAATGCTGAGGGACCATCACTGGAGGCCTTTAAACATCCTCCATCAGAACATTTATTGCTTGTGAAAGAGAATTGGGTGTTGGTTTCCTCACGTCTCCGAGCTGTCACCTCACATGCAGGCCCGGGGATTTGACGGACACTGAATCCACCATTGGGAGTTTAGGGATTGCCTGCCTTTGATCTTCTCCCACGACTCTCGATTACCCATCGTTCAGCTGGGCTTACACCCTGGAGAGAGAGTGGTATGTGTTAACATGGGCTCTGATGTACCCAGGAGACGCACACTTTTCCAACTCAGACCTCACATGGCAAATTACGCTGACATGCTGGGAAAATGCGCAAGAGTCTTGTGTGTTGTCACAGAAAACATGACAAGTGTTAGACGGGTTTGGAATATGTCAGAGGAAAATAGGGAAAATTATTCGAAATGTAAAAGGCGCGTCGTTTTCACACAAAGTCAATAGGTTTTCCACAGATGTTCGAGGTTTCGTTTGAACTGGTCAATATTGCCAAGTGCACATTAATCTATGATTGATGTTCTCCTGGGAAGACATGCCATTGATTTTCCATAAGGTGCAGATGAAAAGTGGACAGATTTTACTAACAACCACATCATGTAATAAGTCAAGATTTCACTGCAGCTGTCACTCATCATGATGCTTCCTGTGACAATGCAACTATGGGGTTAGGTATTGTAGATAACCTAGAATTTTCTTTTCATTTTTTTCTAAGCCAGATGTTTTCTCTGCTATTTATGGTCTTTCATCTTTCCATGTTTCAGGCTTCCTCAGCACGGGTGATCAGGCTGCTAAAGGGAACTATGGGCTGCTGGACCAGATTCAGGCTTTGAGGTGGATCAGCGAGAACATCGGCTTCTTCGGAGGGGACTCCAACCGCATTACCGTATTTGGATCTGGGATCGGAGCTTCCTGCGTCAGTCTGCTCACCCTCTCCCATCACTCTGAAGGTAGGACATTAAAAAAAGCTTCTCTAGAAACTATTTGGAAGAAGAAGAAGCATGCATGTGTATTAGTGCCACTCCAAAATAACCCCTTATTTAATCCCACATGTAATTTTGAGCAATCCCTGCAGTTTTTTTTAATCTAGGTCTTCATGCTAGACACAAGCATGTTGCTTTATGTTTTTTTTTTTTTTTTTCAGGACAGGGTAAAATAGAACATGGCTTTATAAGGAGGAGGTAGCTATATTAAGGCTAAATGATGCACACAGTCTCTCACTGTCCTCTTTCTAAAGCGTGTTGTTTATCTCTTGGCTACCTTAATATTATCTCATGATGATTTACTGCTCATGTTGGCCATGACTTTATTTAATACTTTATGCAGCTTTCGTGTTTGACGTGGACATCCAATAAACGTCTCTCAAGCTCATGCTCTTCTAATGCATCGCTGAATTAAGATAGAGCTTTACTGCTAATACATAAGTAAGGTTCTGAAAGAAGCACTTTGGCTTGTGCAAATAAGACCTGTGTGTTGGTGCTGAGCTCCATCTGTGGATATCAAGCTCCAGCTGTGTTCCTGCAGAGCCAACTTTATCGTCCTTAACCTGAAAACTGTTATTCATGCATCAGATCTAAGAGCTGTGTGTTGTCTTGGATTTGATTAATAGCTCTGGTTGTGTGTGCAACGTATAGATCAAATCATGTAGTGGAAATGTTTCAAATAAGAGAGCTTTCCGTTTAGTCCTTCCTGCAGAGCATACATGTTGACATGAGGTAAACAATTTGCTTTTGGAAAATACGATTGAAAACATTGGATTGATTGGGTTTTTTTTATTATTATTCTGTATATTCAGCTGTGCCCTGCACCCATATTGGTGTTTTTGCTAAAGATGTGTTAGAAGCATTAAAATAAGACAATTTTTTACAGCATGAACTCAGATTGCAAAATTAAAATAAATAAAAAATCTGACCTTTAAATTGAGCGCATTTTTATATGAGTAGAAGTCTCGAGAAAAAAAAATTCTGCAACAAAATCAATACTGTGAAGAATAGTTTCCCTGCTGTTGTTCATACCTGCTTTGTCATTTAGTCTTCCCAGTACTTACAGAAGCAGTAAGTAGCTGCACTAAACCATGAGATTATTTTGAAACTTTTTCCACAACTTTATCAAGAGTACCATTAGTGTGGAGGGTGTTGCTTTTAGGTGCAGTACATTCTTCAGATTATCAAACTTACTGTAGGCAGGAACTGCTGTGCTGCAACTGAGCATTTGAATCACGCAGAAACAATAACAGTGCATGCCAACTTACACTAATGGATGCATTTTCAATTTCTTGATACTCCAGTAAATTCTGCATGTTTGATTAGTTGACCATTGTGCATTTGAAGAAGGTCATGTGAGCTGAACTTCTTCTGGACCCGTTACAATGCCAATGTTTGCAATCTGTTTATGTGTTCCACAATTTGCAGTAAAGTGTTACTAATTGCCTTGATTTCCTCCAATGAATGATGACTGCTTTTGGATTGAATTTTTATCATAGATGCCTTTTTTTATATGCACTCTGTAATGCCACGCTTCATGTAGCATGTTATTATACTGCAAGTGAAACCATCTCTTCTGCCTTCCAGTAAATTGGATATTACCGGGTCTGTTTTTTCCCCCTGAATGGAAATGTATGCCCCACTGATGGGGTGAAAAAGAAAGGAGCAAGCAAAAACTTGAAGGGATCCTGGGAAATTGAAACAGGAAGCCTTCTATCACAGCAGGACTCTTGCTGTGAATGTTACCAATGGCAATCAGATTTCACACAGACTCTCTAGGAGCACAGATTGTTGTAATTATAGAAAGTTTAGGACTGGAGTGGGCTGCAGGATGTGACAGGAAATCCGAGAGGAGGAGTGTCTTTTTGCACCTGCTTTCAAAGCAGTCAGTGTAGCGAAAGCTGGTGGGATGCTCTTGTTGCCAAGTCAATGCAATAAACAGAGAGGAAACAAAAAAGGTTTTTATCTGCATAGCTGTGAAAATTGATGTAAAATTTGTTACTGTGCATTGTAAAAGAGTTCATAAAGTGCAACATAATTAACTTTTTTTTTTTCACTTTTTGCCATACAACCACAGAAGTGCACATATGTCAACATTTTCAGAGTAGTGTATAATTATCTAGCAAAACTTAGTATATACAGGGTTTTAAAGTTTTTCTACAAGTAAAAATACGAAAAGTGAATTTGCAGAATTAAGACGACAGGTTGTTTGGTAATGTTTCTAGGTGTGCACTTCTAGAGACTTAAATATTACCAATTGTTCTTTGAAGAAATTACTATTGCTCATTCTGAGTAAATGGAAAACAGCTGTGCACATCCATCATTAGTTTTTGCAACATTTCTCAATTACTGATCAAGTAATCAGGGGTAAGCTAGACAGTCCTTCTGAAATGGCTGCTTCAGTTCACTTAAACTATTCTAACAGGACTCATAAATGCTTGCCACACTTTTCTGATTTGTGTTAGTAAAAACATTTGAAACCAATTAATTGTTTTTCTTCCACTTCAAAATTCAGCATTAATTGTTTTTGGCCTTTTGCATAAAGATCCTTCAGAAATATTATGAAGTTTTTATAATGTTAGGAATTGCAAAAGACTCCAAAGACTATGTATACTTTAGCAGGGCACAGTACATCATATTTCTGAAATATGAACCAGTTTTTTAAGCAATTATTTTTTTTACATTTAAATATAAATTCTGGAAACATGAATGTAAGCGGATTATTAAATCTCTTGATGATTCCTTATTCCCATTTGCACAAAAACCATAATCTCATCCTGTGTCCCTTGAAATCATAGGTGTGATTTTATATTGAATGTGTTGTATTTGGACTCCTATGAGAAATAAGGTAACACTGGATAAGATTAACTTGAGGAAATACACAACACTCACACAAGCTTTTTTTTTCTTTCTTTCTTAGCTTCTTCTCAGATCCAGGAAATTGAAATCCAAATAAAAAGATTACAGAAAAAGCAAACCAACGGCAATGCACTGTTCCCAAGTTCCCCCGGTGTGTTGGTGTCTTTAATGACAGCGGTTCTACTCATACTGTGCACTCCCTGTGAACATTCTGCATAGACTTTCAATATAACAGGCACTTTTTTATGCCTATCGGTGGCGTAGGTCCTCTGTACTCCTCCTGAAGGTTATTTAATAAGCTGAATCTTCTTATATCATCCCAGCCCTGCGGCTTCTGTCTTTGATTACCTGCTCCTCCGGCCCGGCCTCGGTGCCCACCCTCACGTGGGCTTGTCGAGAGTGCCAGTCATAAGATACATCCATCACATAGCCTCTCCCCCTCTGGCTTGTTTGAGGACCTGTCCACCTCTCATGTGGACTTGATTTTTTTATTTATTTATTTTTTATCTCAGACTCCAGTCCAGACTGAATCCAACAACTAATCTTCCCTTTACTGGACCCATCTGTCTCCCCTGCCTCCGCAAAACAGTTAAACAATGCAACGTCTCCAGCAGTCTCTCTCCATTTCTCCCGCTACAGGCTTCTGCTCCCCAGTCCGCTGCATGTGTGGTGTGTTGCTATTAATAAGATGGCTTCCTGGTCCGCTATGTGCCCATCTCGCTGCACATCTGTGACTGAAGAAGCGAAATGGTCATTAAAGGCACAGTCTCTCATGGCAGTAGAGTGTTTCTGACCAGCTTATTAAATGTAGCTCAACAATTGTTGAGTTACAGGGAGGGAGGGAGGAATTTCCATCTACATCTTCTCTTCTTTCGGCTTCAAACAGAAAAACAGCAAAGGAATTTTTGAAGCAAGGGCATTAGTCAGTCCCACATATTATCTATCTGGTATCGTAAAGGGACTAATTGAACATGCAGACTTCTCTTTTTCCCCATTTCATAATAATCATTATGATTTAAACAGTAAGATGGCATCTCCGTACATGATAGGAATACCAAATAACCAGTTATGGATTTGAATACATTTCCTTAGGCGCATTTACAAGTCCACATTGTCTTTTTTTTTTTGTTCTTCCTCATTTGGAATAAAAAACAAACATATCACACCCTTGCATGTTTTTATCAGCATTTGCATTTAATCTTTGCATGTCTGGTCTGAAACGGCTCTGTTCACAGATCACATGTGAGGGGCTAGTTGCAAAGGCGCTGAAGGTCGTTTGGTTTCCTTTTTTTCCCTCCCTCTCTCTTCCTGTAAGCAATCAGGATAAAAGCTCTGCTTCTAAGGAAGTGCTCTCGTTTTAATGGAATGTCTTGGACATTAAAGACAGCTAGTGTGGAGGATCCTTCATGCCAATGTCAGCTTTCATTTTTATTAAGACTTCTGGGTTATTGAGGACCATAAATACAGATGTTAAATGCTTTGGTTTTATTGCAGTTCTGCAAGAAGTGCAGAGACTTTTGATAATGCGGGAAATCCCTCTTGCCACATGCAAGCCACCTGGATCCAGGAGTGTTGCATGAGTGCTTTTTTTTTAGTTAGAAGACCCGTTTATGAATCTAATTAAGAAAAATAATCACACATAAGATGATTAGGTGATATAATCTTTCATGACATCCAGAAGTTGATGTTCAGAGAGAGCTTCCACTTAAATCTTGATTATGAATTTCATTCATGGCTGCTGCTCATTTTCAGTTGATTTTCTGACTAGGATTTGTGAATCATGCAGTTTCATAGAGGATGGGATTGGAAAGTCCTTCTAATTAATGTTTTACTCCCTTGTTCCTGATTGAGCGAGATACTGTGGCTTCTGTTAGAGTGATGTTACTCTGATGTAATAATGGAAAAGAGAAACAGGCTCCCATGACCTTTAAGAGAAAGTATTTTGAAGTATGTAGGCTGGTGAGTCATCTCAATTCAAAATGGCCAGAACAGAGAATAACTACCCACCCCACGCTGTGCAATCTCCAACAGAATGAGTATTTATTTTTATATTTGGAGAAATAATGCACAATATCTAAATCAAACTACCATCTCTGGTTAATCTAACA